GTTATAATATATTATTTTATTTTTATTTGCTTATTTATTTTATTTATTTACTTAATTTTAATTTTATTCATTTTTATTATTTTTAACTATTTATTATTTTATTTTTTTAGGGATGCACTGATACCGGTATTTCGGTACCGAGTACCGATATTTTTTTTCCGGTACTCGCCGATACCGAATAACGAGTACCGGAAGTCCCATTCAGGAAGCCAAGCGGCGTGTAATGACGCGGCGCCCGGCTTCCCAAATAGCGAGGAAGCCGTCCCAATGCTTCTCAGCACTATGTGACAAGGGAGCATGCAGCCGGCTTGCTGGCCAATCATGGAAGCCGGGTGCTGTGTAATGACGCAGCGCCCGGCTTCCTAATTTGCCAGGAAGCCGGCTCCATGCTCCCTCATCATAAGGTGACGAGGGAGCACGAAGCCGGCTTACCGGCCAATCAGAAAGCCAGGCGCTGCGTCTTTACACATAGTTACACAGTATTTGAGGTTGAATAAAGACATAAGTCCATCAAGTCCAACCGGCACCCGGCTTCCATGATTGGCCAGCATCCTCACCAATCAGGAAGCCGGGCAAGTTTTTTACTTTTTTAATTATTACTAGTATTATTATTAGTAGTAGTATTTTTTTTTATTCAATTATATTATTATGTTATCATATATTATTTTGGTTTTATTTTACTTATTTAAATTATTATTTCATTTTCTCATTTAATTCCTTTTTTTCTACTTGTATTCATTTGTCATGTAAGTAGTAATTCTCGGTATCTGTTCTGTACGTATGGATGTTGTATATTATGTATTTTATATTCTATTTTATTCTGTTTTATGGGTTTAGCTCTTTATTAATCTCTATGGACACTAGCCCTGTATCATTTCCCGCACATGCTCTCTCTCCGCAGGCTGCGCCTTCACATACGGGGCCTATGTCATGCCTGACCGCTGGGTAAATGGCACCCTGCACCGATATTATGTCCCCATCGCGGCCTTCAATACCTTCATCTGCACTGGCCTCTCCTGCTACACCCGGTATGTACAGATTGCTGCCGCTGACCACACTTTGGCGGCATTGCCATCATTCTGCCTGGCTGGTCAAGGGCTGCAATCAAATTTTAGGGTTACTCAAAAGCAAAGGCAGCCCCTCCCCCAGTACCCTACTCTTATTCTGACACCTCTTTGTGTACCTACCCCTGATTACAATGTAAAGAGTCAATGACCAGGAACCAGATTGACAGATTCCTGGCCGGCCAGTGTTAGGTAAAGTAGGCCCAACTGGTGTATGCCTAACTTTTATTTTGTCTCTGAGGTTCCATGTACGGCCAGGGCTCTGTCAACAGGCATTGAAATGAATAGACTCTGGTTGCACTTCACGCAGATGGCCACTAGAGGGCTCTTGTAACTCTATGGGCGACCATTGATGTGTACATGAACGGTATGGCTGATGGAGGTACTTCACAGAACCAAGATCTTATTATATCATGTCTCATTCATTGACAGATTCCTGGAAGTAGACCGGCCAGCGTTAAGTAAAGTTCTGCGCACAGTGGCTTTTGTGCACCCCTTTGTCTTTGACAACGTCCCCCTGTTCTACCGGGTGAGTTGTCACGTTTTTACGACAAGTCACCGTGGTGGTCGTCTCTGTTTTCTCAAGTGGAAGAAGCAAGTCAAGTGGCTTGGGTTGAGTGATGTCACCAAAGCTCCTGTGGGTTTGGCCTTTGCTTTGTGTGGCTTTCCTGAGAACCTTAAGAACCCGTGGCTTTCTAGAAGAAGAAGCCACGCATGAGAAGAGCTTATCTGTCTGTTTGGGACCAGTGGCCATTTTGTTGTCCATCACTGGAACTGACCACACAGATTTTTGATAGGTTGCCGAAGCCCCGTGAAGGTTGCCATTCATCCAGCTAGTAGTAGTCAGTCACATGCAGTGAGACTTGCTCTGTTGAAGACATCAAATAGTCAACCAAGTGGCTTCTCTAGAACATAAGTGACATTCTGACGAGGACAGTAAGGTGGACATTTTGTATGGAGAGGACAACCGGTGAAATGAAAGAGGCCATCTACATCAAACCAAAACAGGGGTGGAGGCCTTTGACACCATCTGTTACCCACATAGAATGAGCTTTTACTATATTAACTAGGGATGCACCGATACCGGTTTTTCGGTATTGAGTACGAGTACCGATATTTATATTTCGGTACTTGCCGATACTGAGTACCGATACCGGTACTTCCGGTAGCATAGAGCCGGCTTCGCCGGGCAATCAGGGAGACAGGAGGCCTGTCAATCCCCACTGCCCGGCTTCTTGATTGCCCGGGAAGCTGACTCCATGCTGTTTGGCCGGCTTCCAAGCCAATCAGCATGGAGCCGGCCAAACAGATCTGATAATATGGTGACACAACCTCCACCCTGCAGACAGCCCATTCTCCTCACACCCATATCCATCCTCAGCAGCAGTCATTACCATACCACAGATGTCCCTCGGCCAGCTGGGCAGACACCGCTCTCCAAGTTCTCCTGGATCTGCCCACATCTCCGGTGTGTGTACAGCGCCTGCACCGCCTGTGTGATCGGCCCTCAGCCTGCTACTGAGCAGCCTGCCCCATGCTCTCATTCAGAAGTCCTCTAACTGCATCAAGCAGGCGGTGCGGGTGCTGGACACACACCAGAGTCAGGCGGCAGTAAAGCGGCTTGGAGAGCAGTGTCTGGCTGAGGGACATCTGTGGTACGGTGATGACTGTTGCTGAGGATCGATGCAAGGGGAATGAGGTGTCTGCAGGTTGTGTCACCATATTATTAAAACTGTTTGGCCGGCTGGATGCTGATTGGCTTTCGCACTCTCTCAGCTCCAAAACTCAGTTGCTTATTCCACATAATGGAGAGTCCATAGAAGGAGAGAGACACTATAATCAACCTGTGTTTCATGAGCTTCATCTACTAAAAGTAGCTCCTCCTTTACACTTCCTTAGGGTGGGCATTGACCTAGGAGTTCCTCGGGGGCGTGTACCTACTTGTAAAATATTATGGGATGACTGTAGCCAGCAACTAATGTTTGAGGATGGTGAAGTGCAATTTAGGAATAAGATTCTCTAAATGGTCCAGTGGACATTAAATACTTGCATCACCTGGCCAATTATGTTCCAATCAGCCAATGACTGGCCTGGTCTATAGTCACTTAGTCACCGCATGGCCAACAATCTCACTGGATGCATTGGATTTGCAGGCCTGTCAGAGAATGAACAAACATCCTGACTGGGTCCAATGGTAGGGTTTAGATATCATTCACTTTGAAGGCTCTTCTTCCTTTAGACACCTTTACGCTTGGCCAAACTTAGTCTGATGGCTCTTCCTATGAGGATAATTACTCTGCTTTATATTAAAGGGTCTGCCCAACCCAAAAATGATATTACAGCATTTGGTAGATGCTGGAAAATTCAATAACATGACAGTCTCTACTATCTCATGGGGCCCTATTGATGAGACACCTGCGTTGAGTTGGACCTTTTAGCTATAGGATGTTTCTCCAGCTTTAACGTTTCATGATGGTCTGTCCCTCTCTCAACATCTTTCAGCTCTTTTTCTGTCATGGAGAAGGTTGCAACTGGAATGAAGCCATCCCTCTGCATTTATATCACCTCTTCTTTGCCTTCTTGACCGGATTCCTCTTCGCTTCCCACCTTCCGGAACGCCTGGCCCCTGGTCGCTTTGACTACTTTGGTAAGAGTCCCTCAAAATTGGGAGGGCTTTGGAATGATGACTTGTAAAGTAGCCAAATTCAATTGGTTAGATTCTTATATTATATCGGGTTTTTATCCTACAGTAAAAATATATTTCCTTGCAGGTCACAGTCACCAGCTCTTCCACATCTGTGCCGTCATGGGGACCCATTTCCAGATGGAAGCAGTGCTGACCGACCAACTGTCCCGCAAGGCTTGGCTCGGCTCATTCTCAGAGAAGGACACGTTGGTGATTACCTTGGGCGTGGTGGCCACCTCGGTGATAGGAAATGTCATCCTCATCTGTTTCTTCACTGCAACTTTGCTCTGGTCGCCCCGAGCCAACTCCATCCTCCAAAATTACATCCCAGGAGAGTCCAAAGTCAAGCAGCATTGACCATAGTACTCTCCCGTCCAAGAACTTTGCAGTTCTCCGTCTGCACGGCCAGTCCTCATCTCAGCATTAACAGCCATAGGGGTCCCTCCCCCACCTTCTCAGCCTCAGGGCCGAACATCTTCCAAGCTCATTTCTTTTCTTGACGGTAACATTTTACTTTCTCAAAAAGAAAACAAAAACAGCAGTGCCGTGTATAACTCACCCACCCGCTTATGTACACACAGCAGTCTACTGTAGCCTTAGCTGACCTGAATACTCAAAGGTCATTGGAAAAACTCAATGGAAAAATGCAGTCATATTCAATATCGGTTCAATCACAGTTGTCTATAGGCACAGAACAAAAGATGACTATCCTGGCCTCTTACCTCAATTTTTGGAAAAAAATCTGGCCATACCTTGTCCTTTATGGATTACCTTGTTGACTCATCTGAAGAGGACAAGGGACATCTCTAATGGGAGGAGAATAACTGGGGAGGACATAGAAGGTATGTCCCAAATACTCACTGTAGAACATATTTTGGTGGAAGAAGGTCTTCTCCAGTAGATGGACAAGTCAACGTGTGTTGGAGAGGTGCTCCATGGTCTACTCTTTTGAAGTCATTAGTTTCGGTTAGGAAATGCATGGTGTGGCACAGCACGGCTACAGGGCAGTGTTTTGTGGCACTGTGGTTGGACAGAAAATGTCACATGGCCTACTGGTACATCCGAATGGGATAATCTTGCCACCGTGGTTACACTGAGCCCTCTCAGACCACCATCAGCTGACTGCATTGCAGTGCCACACGTATGAGTGATTATTGTATATCAATCACAGGTGATTGTCACAAAATCATCCCAACAGATCTTCCATTGTGCAATAATGCAACGACCAAACCAGCACAGGAAGCAGAGCCCTTAAGTGAAATCAGTTGTTTTCAGGTGGGCTGGGTGGTGAGGGAGAAGCCACCATATCTACTCATAGAACTGAATATATACCCATAGCAGCTCCTCCCCTGACAGAATCTAAGCACATTGGTATCAGATAAGGGTTTGGACCGCATATGGCCACCAAATCTCCTGTGAAAGTTAATTTACTGAGGGCTTCACATTACAGAACCTTTCAGGTAAATGGAAAGATCGGAACTCTTTCCTGGAGAACCTCTAAATCTAAACTCCAGGTGGATGTAGAAGAGACACCTATCAGTGCAGGGCTGCAATCACTAATACATCATCAAGTGCATTGTCTAATGCACTCAGTGTATATAATTGAATTGGTATCAGCCTCTTGCAGTCCTCTGGATAGCAGAGCTGAGCCTTCGAGAGCGAGCAGAAGAAGCCAGTCTGTATTTTGAGGGACAAGACCTGTAAGTGTCACAGAACAAAATCAGGTCTCCTGCCTTGCCAGACAGGGCTCTGCTATTGTGACCGAGCTGTGCAAATCTCAGAATTGGATAGACATATCCTTTGGCAGGTAAAATAGCTCCTATGTATGTATTTCATCTGCTTGCTTAGAGGCAGGGTCGCATTTCCCTCAAGGCCAACCAAGGCCCGGCCTTGGGGCAGCAGGGAGTAGAGGGGCAGCAGGGGTGTGGAATTCCTATCTCCCGACGCCCGGGACATGCAGTTTCGGGCGGGTAGGTGTTTTCTACATTTAGCCCTGCTTTGGGCAAGCAGAGCTAAATGTAGAGGGGGGGAAGCCGCCGCTTGTTTTGTACAAGTGATCCCGGCGATGTCTCCGAGATGACTTGTATTCAGCCTGCAGGTCTGCCATTCTCCATTGGGAAGGGGTGAGGGCTTCTTGAGGAACCTGGCCTTGGGGCAGCAGAGAGAGTAAATCAGGCCCTGCTTAGAGGTCAGCTTTAAGCTACCTACATTTGGAGTGTGTGCTAACCTTTTGAATTTTTGGGTATACTCTTGGTGAGCATGGTCATTGGGTTTCTGGTTACAATTTTGGTAAGCCTATTCATTGTTTTTTTGGGTTTACTCCTGGTGAGCATAATAATTCCCTTCTTTGTTCTATGGTGAGAGCATAGTATAGGATTTGGGACATGGGTAGCTGGTGGGATTTATTACTCAATGACCCCTAAAGCATCTTGGGGCCTTCATAGGTCGGGTAATCAACTAAGGTCAATGAGGTCCTCCTAGATGTTGAAGGTACCACCAGAACCTCAGAATCAAATGCTCCCCCCCGAGTCCCTGAGACGTATAAGGAGTCCGCTTCCACTCTGAAACATCTAAAACAACTTTTTTCTTTAAAAATGTTTTTTTGTTTTGACCTTCTTGTGACTTGCCCTCAGTGGCTTTCCAGCAGCTGTTTGGACAGTCACTGAACATCCAGTACCAGCCTGGGCCTCAGAAGAGGAAAATATTTGTCAGTAAATCCGCAGTGGGGAGGAGGAGGAGGAGGAGAGCTAGTGTAGGGTCACGGAATGTTTGAAGTGGATATGGAAAATGGATTGTGTGGGGATTGTGGTTGGCCGGCTTTGGGGCTGGCCCACATTAACCCTTTCATGGACCCAAAAGGGGGGCGCCGCCTATCGGAAGCTCTTATTTACGTGAAGGGTTGGACGGGATGTTGCAGAGAAGTAGGTTTGTCTATTTGTATGTGAGACGTAGAAGAAGATTAGACAGAAGGATCTTTGTGTTCGGGGGAATCGGTGGAAAAGGGATTTTCTGTTCCAGTTATTTTCCTCTTTGCCTAGACAGCTGAGCAAATGCGGTTACATTCTAGTCTCTGACTTGTGTTTTCAAGCGGCCAGGATGTTTTTGATGTTTTTGATGTTTTTGATGCCTGGATGATGCAGAACAACACAGTGGGGGACTGGTACTCTGCCCTAGAGCTAACTATACATTGAGGCCCAGAGGTCAAACTAAAGGGTACCACCGAAGCCCAGTGCCAGGACCAGGTCCTTTAGTTTTTAAGTGGATGTTTTTGGTACGTTGCTCTCAGGATGCTTCAAAAAAACACAGGGGGTAACTGGTACTCTGCCCTAGAGCTAACTATATATTGAGGCCCAGGGGGCAAATTAAAGGAGACCTACAGTCAAAACCAAAGCCCAGTGCCAGGACCAGGTTCTTTAAATTTTAAGTGGTGAGGATGTTGTTGGTACTTTGCTGCCAGGATGATACACATCACAGAGGGCGACTGGTCCTCTACCCTAGAGCTAACTGTATATTGAGGCCCAGGGATTATATTAAAGGAGACCACCAAAGCCCAGTGCAAGGACAAGGTTCTTCAGCACTCAAGGCGACAAGGCCAAAGAGCACCCACTACCCATAGGCTGGAAACTATGCCAGCAAATACATTGCAGATCCTGCTCATTTTGCACCTCCCATTCTGCTGCCTCTTTGGCCTACCCCTCAGCCCAGCCCTGAAGAAGTCTAACCAGTTTAGCCTCTTCTTCTGCTTTGCCTCCATACGTAGTAAAAGAGTTGTTAAATACTCACTTGTCCTGAAGATATTGCTACTCAGTTTTCTCTGGGGGGGGTAAGTGGGCGCTAAGGCCCTAGTCATGTGGTTTCTACCCAAAGGGCTTGGGGTGTGGCATTCAGAGAAAGCCATCCAATCCTCAGGGTCATGTGACCTGAAGGAATAAGGTTGTCCTGTAGATGTTGCTACTTCAAGCGTGAGCTCATTCTGGGAGTAGATTCTTGTGGCTGAACGCTGAGCGATAAAGGGCCTACGTACTGTTCTGGGTCTGGAGAATTTTCCACCTTCGAATAATCTTAGCTTAGTACACAACCCTCCGCAACTTTCACAATAATAATTGCATCAACCAGCAGGAAGGAGGAGTTTTGCAATCTGTGTGTAAGACTAAGCGTCTGAAATCACAAGAATCTAACACGGTGTCCTAACACGGGAGTCAATGATAGGCTGGGCGGCTCAGTCCGCGCAACCGTGGTGCTTAATAATACATAGCAATAATATCTAACAGGACTAGCTTCCAGATCTGTCTTATAACACCCAAACCACACTAGACAAGGACCAACGTCCACCATCTGCCAATTGGCAAAGCTACAACTTCCAGTATGAGTCTGCTGAGACTTGTAGGTCCATGCAGTAATAGATTCAAAGTGTATGCAGTGCTTTGAATGGTGCATATGGTCCTCTGGTGCCACCTTCTGGCCAAAGTAAGGAGCTGCAACTACTGCACATGTTTACTGTCTACTACTACATCTGCAAAAAATCTGTCAAGGCAACTGGACTTGCTGTATTTTTCTGAAGACGTTTCACTGGTCATCCGACTAGCTTTCTCAATTCAGAATGACATGTACAAAAAATTATCTGGGAATAAATATGGTGAATGTTGCTCCAATCCACATAATCTGTTATTCACAACCAGGTGTTGATTGCATTTGCATAATTGGAGCTGGGAGGTGTTATTATCCTGCCCAGAGAGAGGTGTTAAAACAGCATTGTATGTTCACAGACATATGTCTACTACTAGTTTTATTTAGAGCCACCTTGTGGTTCAAAAGCTGAATGACTGTTATCATTAGTATATTGGTGCTATCTTGTGGTCAGAATGTAGAATGACGGTTATGATTAGTCTGTTGGTGCCATCTTGTGGTCAGAATTCAGAATGACGGTTATGATTAGTCTGCTGGTGCCATCTAGTGGTCAGAATTCAGAATGACAGCAATCATTAGTCTGCTGGTGCCATCTTGTGGTCAGAATTCAGAATGACAGCTATCATTAGTCTGCTGATGCCATCTTGTGGTCACAATTAGGTACTGCCATTCCTTGTTTCATAAAATTGAGGTTGAGTGCGTACCGGAATCTATAGCAAGCAAAAGTATGACTGCACGCTTCCATTTCTCCAAAAGCCTAACGCATTATTTTATCACCATGATTATGACGCTAACTGCTGCTGAACATCATGCGGTTGTACGCGGCAATGCTCAGTTTTCCTATGTAAATGATAACTGCTGCTCTGTCTTTTTTTTTTTTATTATCAGCGGGAAAAAAAATGAAGCCTTTATCTGCAGGTTATTATTAATTCCTTCTGTGCCTATAGAAGGTATTATAAGCCGAATGCCTTCTATTGGACCTGTACGTATCCTCGACCACCCGTCGTGCCTTCACCATGCCCAGCTTTGTTGAATGTAATTTCATTTTTTGTTCTTTTTATAAGTACTAATACAAAAAAGAGATGAGATTTTTTTTTTTTTCAGTCGGTCGGTCATGATGTCATTTTTCTATTAACTGTACTAACGGTTTTATTTGTAAGGAATCTTGTTTTTGTATGATTTTTGCTTTAGCGTTTTGATAACGTTTTTAGCAAAGGGGGGGGGGGGGGGACAAACGAAGGG